AGAAATAAAAGAAAATCAGGTAGTTTATTCAAATTTTAGAGGGAATAATCCTGAAAAAGACATGACATTACTAAGGATATATAGTATTGATCTAGTTATCTAGGACATCCTGATATACTTCTTAAATCCTTAAAACATCAAAGTTTACAATCTTAAGAATTTTATTTTCTCTAAAAATTCATTTTTAACTCTGCCTTTACTGTTGAAATAATTTCATCCGACCATGTTCATTTTCTTGCTTCTTTCTTCACGTCTCTTCAACTGAATTTCACAAACATAAAATGACCAACGTGATATTTTTGCATGGGCAATACTTCTTTGACCGTCTGATTTTCTTGGCGCCTCAATGTCGCGATCTATCATTCATCCATGCTCAATCTAATTAAAAACCAATCAGATGCTCATAAAAAGATTTCCCAATTTTGCAATATTAAAATGCATTGGATTAATTCCAGATGGTACTTATGAGAGGATTATGAAGATGGTAAAACATTGATCATCAGATTAAAGTTGATTACTCAGTCAGAATTATTTTTATTAAATGTTTCAAGTACTGTTAATAACAAGCATAAAAGAAAAATATATCGATGGTGCTTAAGCATCATTGAGTGATAGCGATACGTTTATGTTAGATTAAATGCTTAGTGAGCAATATTCTCTATAAGCCTTGTGAATGCTGTTGGTGGTATGACCACACATGATGATAAACATGTGAATCATTTTTTATATTATGTGTACATGGCTCTGATGTATGTATGGCATTGACATGTGTACATGGCCCTGATGTACTATATGGCATTGACATGTGTACATGGCCCTGATGTATGTATGGCATTGACATGTGTACATGGCCCTGATGTATGTATGGCATTGACATGTGTACATGGCCCTGATGTATGTATGGCATTGACATGTGTACATAGCCCTGGTGTATGTATGGCATGTGTACATGGCCCTGATGTATGTATGGCATTGGCATGTGTACATGGCCCTGATGTACGTATGTATGGCATTGACATGTGTACATGGCCCTGATGTATGTATGGCATTGACATGTGTACATGGCCCTGATGTACGTATGTATGGCATTGACATGTGTACATGGCCCTGATGTATGTATGGCATTGACATGTGTACATGGCCCTGATGTATGTATGGCATTGACATGTGTATATGGCCCTGATGTATGTATGGCATTGACATGTGTACATGGCCCTGATGTATATATGGCACTGACATGTGTACATGGCCCTGATGTATGTATGGCATTGATATGTGTACATGGCCCTGATGTATGTATGGCATTGACATGTGTACATGGCCCTGATGTATGTATGGCATTGACATGTGTACATAGCCCTGGTGTATGTATGGCATGTGTACATGGTCCTGATGTATGTATGGCATTGACATGTGTACATGGCCCTGATGTATGTATGGCATTGACATGTGTACATGGCCCTGATGTATGTATGGAATTGACATGTGTACATAGCCCTGGTGTATGTATGGCATGTGTACATGGTCCTGATGTATGTATGGCATTGACATGTGTACATGGCCCTGATGTATGTATGGCATTGACATGTGTACATAGCCCTGGTGTATGTATGGCATGTGTACATGGTCCTGATGTATGTATGGCATTGACATGTGTACATGGCCCTGATGTATGTATGGCATTGACATGTGTACATGGCCCTGATGTATGTATGGCATTGACATGTGTACATGGCCCTGATGTATGTTCATTGACTTGTATGGCATTGACATATGTACATGGCCCTGATGTATGTTCATTGACTTGGTGATTGACCAAGATACGATGATGTAGAGCCCAGATGTACATTTTGGAAACACGCCCTATGTTTGTATGATGCATGACCAAAATGCATAGATCGAGTGCATGACAGAATATTCATGCAGTTGGGCATCCTAGCTTTTTGAAAAATCAGCTTATTGAAAAGACTCTCCATCCAGACTTTTGAATTCTTGTTTTTGGAGAATTTCAAACTTATATTGGTTAGTTCTGAAAAATTGTCACATTTTTAAAATATTTTTTGGTTCCATCATTCAACAGTCCAATAGTTCTGATCATTTCAGGATAAAAATATCATCAATATTCTATCAAAATAAAAATATTAATGATACCATCTTGGGAATCTGTGTATCTCCCTGAGTGGATAAAACCGATACAATTAGGCCAAGATCCCATCTTACATACCCCCACACTTTTCCGATCTATTGTTACAAACGTAGAATTGCATTGATTGCGAATGGAGATTTAAGCGAGATAGCGGTAAAAGTTTCAATAAATAAGGCTATTAGATATGAATTTGGTGTCCGGGTGGAGTTTACTCATACAGATTTTATCCGTCTGCTTTTTGCTACTTTATGTTTTTTCTCACTAAAATTTGATCAAAGTATTTGAATTTTGGGCATTTCTATACAATCCAGAGTGTGAACTACATCACTGTTTATTTTATTCCTTGCTAATTCCACTCTTTTCTATGATATTCTACATTTTAAATGATGACCGTTGCATTTTATTTGAGGCAGTTGCTGGTGTCTCTTGGGGAGATGATTGAATGTTCTAGCCGCTATATGACCACTACAAACCTGTGACTCACCCTCACTGTTTACAAGCTATAAAAGTATGAGATCATTCATTTATCCATGATATTAAGAGAGGAAAGACATAAAAACTGGAATAAAATAAATAAAATATGACACCCAAATAAATATTTCAAAATTGGACAAAATACAAATTCGTTTAAGATTTTGTAGGAAATAGTTTGAAGTAATAATACAGGAGAATATGCTATTTTTGTTGCGGTGAAAACTCCTGGGTAATCACTTAATTTATATAGTATCAATTATATCGTAGAATACTGTACAGTAAAACTTGTACAGTATCTCCAAACACTAATCTGAACATCTCTCAATGTGAGGCTTTTTTGTTTTTTATTTTTTATTTAAGCAATTTTTCCTTGGCTGTGTCCATTTAGACATTAATAGCTAAATTTTTACATGATATTAATAGGCAAATTAAGCATTTATTACATTATTTTTTATTATTTTTTGATATGTCATAGACTTTCATGTTGAAAAACCCTGAAATGTGAAAACCTGCAAATCCAAAAACATTTAGCTAGTTCCAGTTAGGTGGTGTTCTGATATGACAGGTTTTACTGTATATGTATCCAGCAAGAGAAGCAACACTGTACAAGAAATGATAGAAAAGATAAAGGATATTAACTTTATTTACTGGGCAGATTTTATCAATATCCATTCAATAATACAAAATTGAAGCCATTAAGATAAATATCTTGCCATCAAAGTTCATGAAGAAGTTAAGATACATCGATTAATATTCTATCTTTCTAATATAATAGAGATACATGCGATACTAAAATGTGATATATCTTCATAAGTTATACATCTCCCAATAGTATACTCATACATCAAAGTAAGATAATTTACTCTACCACTTTAATAAACAAAAGTCTAATGAACTACAACTGTATACAAAGAAATGAATTTTCTATATTTATTGTTTTCTTCTGTTTCTCAAGCTTGTTTGTTTTGATTTGATTGTTCTATGACCCGATCAATCTGGGTAGTCTTGCATGAAGCCCTTCTCCTCGCCCGACTGCATACTTATTTTATAAGACATCAAAACCTTTATTTAAGTCACAAGAAGTGAGGGTGAGGCTATCCAACTGAGTGGATTGTTCCTAAACTATACAGGGTGTCAAATAAGTCCTGTCTTCCTTGCTACAGCTATATTATCTGCTCGGTTTGAATTCATCTCACATTTAAAATTGTGCGATGAAGTTCAAAACACTCCGAACATCCAAACAGCCTAAGTGTGAACATACAACATAAAGAACCACTACTTATTTTGTCTTATCTATACTACTTTATAGAATGACAATAATGGCTTAGTGTGCAACACTATTTCATGAGTTGTGATAACAGGAACTTCTCATCATTTTAGTTACAACATCAAGGTGACATCTTTTATTTTTATGGTAGATGAAAAAATTCTAAGGATTTTACTCTACCCTGACATCTATATTCCTGAAGAACTGTATGTGTGTCATACTTATATTTGTAATTTGCATTTTGATTTTCCCCACCATCATTTATCTGTCACTTGCAAGGACAAAGCCAGAATTAATAATAAAAAGGTGAGATAAATTTTTTAAAAATCTGTACCAATATTTTCTGTATTGCGACAGAGATGATCAATGGGCACAATCTCAGTAGCAATACAGATTGGAACAGCGCAAGAACTGACCAATCAGAAGGCTTCATTTTATAGATCATACGATAAGATTATTTACGACTATGGAACATCATTTTCGCAGTACAAAAACATCTTTTTTGTAAAATTTTGGCGAGACAGCTGCATCGTCTGCCTCATAGCATCTACAACTGTGACTTGCAACTTAGAAGGAATGAGACAAGTCGGTGGTTCTCACGATGAGCTTCCTATACTATATATTGGGTAGTCTTGGCTTCCTATACTATATATTGGGTAGTCTTGGCTTCCTATACTATATATTGGGTAGTCTTGGCTTCCTATACTATATATTGGGTAGTCTTGGCTTCCTATACGATATATTGGGTAGTCTTAGCTTCCTATACTATATATTGGGTAGTCTTGGCTTCCTATACTATATATTGGGTAGTCTTGGCTTCCTATACTATATATTGGGTAGTTTTGGCTTCCTATACTATATATTGGGTAGTCTTGGCTTCCTATACTATATATTGGGTAGTCTTGGCTTCCTATACGATATATTGGGTAGTCTTAGCTTCCTATACTATATATTGGGTAGTCTTGAATCAGGCCCTATGTTGACCCTCCCACTGTACCTCCAGCTCATGTTATGGAAATAGATTGGGGGAGGGGGGGTCGAGGCATGATGCAAGACTATTTACTATATGTTAAATTCAAATCATGTAAAAATACTGTTGAGGTTATGACCTACCGACTTATTTGAATTAGTTCTTGGACTACAATCCAGGTGGCGCTGGTTCATCTTCCTCCACCTCGTCAACTTCTTCTTCCTCTTCAATCTTCTGACGAATCTTATCTGAAATAGCAGAGGTCATTCCATTCAAATCTACAGCTACCTCTCAGGAGATGATGGTACATTTTATTTATTGCTATTTTAACATTTCTTGGTTGAGTGAAAGACAAATCAACATTTCAAAATTTCATTAGATGAGGGGAGGGGGCCAAACCATAATGAAATTAACTTAGTTTTTCCACAACTGATAATTGATGATTTGCGATCACCGGATGGATTCTATCTTGTAGTGACGTCACAATTAGGTCACTCAGCTTTAGATGTTTGATTTTGAGAGATTATCTTCTATATTTCGTGCTTTATTGATTTATTTTTCACGAAAGCGTTCAATTTGACTAGATCAACATTCATGCTAAGCCTGTGCTTTCATTAACGCCGTCCCATAATGGAGAGGACCCGGTTTTTACTATAGGGACCCCAAACAATGAAAATGAGGGGTCACTTGGACGCAGTGCAGGTCATATAAAAAAAATCAACTCTGGATGAATGTATTGATAAAGATCTTACCTTCAGTCTTTTATTTGGTCAAAATCCGCTAAATAAACGAAGGATATTCTATTTCTAAAAGAAATAGAATTTTCTTTCGGAGTTTCTTTCTCGGAAGTTAATTTCCGATCAAAATAGTATGAGGTATGTGATTGGACAATCACTAGTAGTTGATTTCTGAGCGGTAATAGGTACGAGTCCTATGATTGGCCGAGATTATTAACTGCGCATGCGTCTTAATAATTTTAACTAATCAAATTGCTGGATTTGCTGTGCATGCGCAAAAAACTGAACCAAAAAATGGAACCTCACGGAGATTGCTCCTAGTGAAACTTTCTGAGCGATCAAAATCAATAGCAAATTGCTTTGAAATACGCGAAGAAAAATTGTATTTAATGGTTGAAAATTAGTTATCTCTTTCTAATGAAGGTATCTGCATGATTTAATGACCTACTAGGCGTGTGTAGTACACTGATCTGGGCCAAAAAATATCAAAACTGATGCAAACTTTTCATCAATTTTTTTCGTTCAGTGCAAAAATGTGACTTTGAATTCCCGGGAACCTTTTTTCATGGGGACGCACTTTTTTGAGGGGGGACGCAATTTTGTAAAATCAATCCGTCCCAGGGAAGCACTTTTGGACAAGCCTACTGGAAGCACTGTAAGCACATACCAAGTCTAAGATCTTGCTGACATGATTTAGATAGCGGTTTTTGAAAAAATCGGGGGCGCTTATTAGGGTCACACGGTTTGAGATTTCACGGTTCGGTTCGGTGATTGTATTTCACAGTTCGGTTCGGTTCTGATTGCGGTTATCACGGGCCTCGTGAAATGAGCAAAAATATATGAAATTGATCCGAAAATCAGAAAACATACTAAGTGTGTCACAGTGTTTTATTGTATTCAGTATTGTAAGTATCCAGTTTCACACAATGTTTGTTTGTTTGTTCAGTCTTTTTTCCCTCCCTCCCTCCCTCCCAAAATATCTGTGTGTTCACTGTGTTGATCTTCTTGTTTGATGTTCAAGTTTTTTCAACACATAAAATAACTTGTCAACTGTTGCCAAAATTAGCACAGTACTTCACTAAACTGAATAAATGTTTTCTTTAGAAATATAACTTAAGTTCAACACTTTGACAGGACTCAACATGGATCAAAGGCGAACGTAATACACAGAACGTGACTCGTTCGCAAATTCAATGCATTCGGCGTTCGGCTTTTTACAGTATCAGTGGTTTCAGTAACTTTCTGCACAAGGGGCAGTTGAAAAAAACAAGAGGCGCCATTTAAAACAACCAATTTTACAATCCCGGAAATGCAAATTCTTGTCCATGGACAAATGAACAAGGGCATGGACAGGCTTTGCCAAAAATGATATAAAATTCTGATGTGCATTATATTTCAAAGACAATGTATCTGAAATACAATATCATAGTACAGTCAAAGCCAAAGTTTTGAACTTTGAATCCTATTAAGAGGTGATTTAGAAGATGTCCAGGATTTTACTTTTTGCAGGTTTGTCAAAGTCATTTCCCCGTGTGATATTGGGTCAATTGGATTGATCACAAGACATGGGCTACACAAGTGACACCTTCAGCTGTGGAATGACTATGGCAACTTATATAGAATGCCATTTACCTTTTATGAGATAGCTTAGCCTTACATAGGGTGCAGTTTACAAATTCAAATGCATCTGCTGAATTGAACACTTTTGATATAGAATGCATCCTGTATACATACATTGTACATAATTTACATCGAAATTTAAGGTATCTTCTGACTACAGTCCCCATGTAGAGTTTGAAAACATGTTTTCTCATATATTTACTATTTATCATGACTTAAAAATTAATTTAAGAGATTTTTGAAAAAAATGTTTTTAAAATGAAAGTTGTCAGCTTTTCATTTTTTAAATTCCAAATTTCCGCCATTTTTCAAATAAAGATTTTTTAAATCATCATTTTTTTAATCATCAAATATTTCACTATACAGTGCAAGAAAATATTATCTTTTTAACAACAATATAAAGATTGAACAGAGGACAAACTATTTCAATAATAAAATGTCAAATCTGATGCGCCAATTCAATGTTTTAGCATACCTCATCGTGACATCATTTAGGTGGCAACATTTCTCCATGTCTATCTTTTTCTATGCTAGTCATAGAAATAAACCAATGTTGACTCTCTAGTCTAACCAGGTTAAAAGGATGAATATATTATGTTTTTAATATTATTACCATTGGTTTCTGTGCGAACTAAAATCCATGAATGAGTTTATTGCTCGCTTATTTATTAACCAATTTTCTTAATTTTGTCGGCAAAAAAACAAGTGAGGTTGAATGCTCTGCATCGGTGTGAATTATGTGTTAGTGTAACCTCTCAAAGTTAGTTTTTAATAAATTCACGATATTTTGAACAAACGGTAGTTCAAAAAACATTTTTGAAATTAATAAAAAGTTTCACAATTTACACTTTGATAATATTGGATAAGCCAAAGTTTATATTGGACCTTTAACTGATTAATTTTACACCCATTGGAAAGATGTACTGTGACTGGTTGAACAAGGTTATATTAATCATACATTTATCTGCATGTCCCATGGAAAATAAGGTACAAATCATAAACAAGGAAGTGCAAAATAATATCGCTAAATCAAATAAAGGATAGTCCATAGAAGACTTTTAATTTCCCCAAAACCTAGACAATATTTGGCTTCTGACAAACGGCGAATTATCGAAAACAAACGGCGATTTTAGGCACTCGCCCCCTGCTATTGAAAGCCCAGAGTATACTGTTCTATCAACCAATAGGATTGCGCGAAATGTTTAGCGTAGGTCATGACGGTGAAATTTATCAACATTTTCCTTTTGTTTTCGTTATCTGCCGTCTATATCAGAAGATCGTCGTAAATATCAGGTATGGTTCGCATTATTGCATGATGATTAACGATTCCAGACTATGTTAAGTTAATTGGTATTACACGAAAGCTTGAAATGGAGTTTAATTCCGAGTTTACATTTTTATTTTTCTGAAGTGAAACTGAAAATGTCACGGTTCTTCAAGAACCGCGGTTTTCAAGATTGTGCGCGAGCTAACCGTCGTGGAGGTATGAACCGCGGTAACCGCAAGCCACGGTTAACCGTGTGACCCCTAGCGCTTATAGGTATCGATGTTTAGTATGAATTTTACCCAAACTTCGCACATATATAGATAAACTCATGATCTAGTCAAATCGGCATACCTGGTAAATATCTGACCCATGGTTTTCATAAAAGAAACAACAATATTTTTAGTTCAAATCTGCCACGTCTCCACCATTTCATGATTCCATCATGTCTAATATCATTTCTATATGACGTCACACCAATAAGACGAAATACATGACAACAGTATCCCTAAACAAAATACCGGTTTCTGATCGCAAAAGGTCAATTGGACATCATCCCTAAACAATATAAAAAATCATAGTCAAATGGTCTCTAATTACATGGCTAAAATTATACAAAAACATTCTGAGACGAGGTTTCAGGAGAGGAAAATAAATGTGTACTGTTTTTACTACACAGGCGGTACTTACCCATGAGTGGGTCCACAATGGCCTCTTTCCCATGACACCTTGCCCAGAACTGTTCAGGTGACATGGCGTAAGCATTGACTTCATCATGGAACTTGTCCAAAGTCACTATTGCACTGTCACAATTACGAACTTTGATCTCCTTAAAATATAGCAACAATAAATGATTACAAATGTTGAAATATGAGCTAGTAGTTAGAGGTTTATTTTGGACTGGTTACAATTGTATCTATTTCTATCTCTATTTATTTAAGATGCAACAGGCATATTTGCCCACTATATCAAAAGGGACCTCTGAGTATTATTCTTAAGTTGTTGTATATGCACAGAACTAATTTTTTGTAGTTCTCACCTTTTTCTCCTAGAAACAAAGACAAAATTGGAGACAGATAGATCTATTTTTTGAAAGGCAACATGAATCAAAGGAGCAAGCTGGTCGTATAAGTTAATTTAGTATACCGAACATTTCTCCTTATATTAGACACACACAGAGGGTAATTCTGACTGGCTTACTTCCTTAATACATTTGAGTTTATTAAATTGATCCTGATCTTATCCAAGATGGCTGATAGAATTATAGAGAAAATTGAGCTGAATAAAAAATCTTTAAAATTGTGAAACCTTTTGCAATATTGTCAGTACTTTGACATCATGTTTTTAGGACAGAAAAGCTAAAATGATTACAAGCAAATTCAATAATACTTTTGGCAGTATTTCCATTGGTACATCATTAAATCAATCACCTCATCTAAATACAGAGTCCTGACCCAAAATTCACCATTGTCATCCTCGTATAGTTCAAATGTGACACTAGCAGCATATGGTGGCCATTTATTGTCAAATGAACCAATAGCCTCAAGCAAGGGTATCAGGGACGAGTCGTGGCAAGAATACAGGCACATCTTTTTAGAATCACTGAAAATAAGGGTATGCATTTTATCAGTTTTATCCTCCAAAGAGAGTCATGTAGCCATTGAATATACATGTTAGTGACTCTTTGATAATATTCTTTGAATTAATTTTGAAAAATTATCAATTTTGCATTAATGTAGAACATCAGGTTATCTAACCAAAATAACAATGGAAACAAATTCAAAATTATTTATAGGGTGTTGGAATGGGATAACCCCCAATTTAGCAATGTTGAAACTTTCCCTTTGGACATGAATTTTTGGATTTCTGTGGTTCTAAAATGCAACTTCTTGCAAGTTTATGAAGTGACAGTTCTAAATTGTACAGCAATGTATTAAGAAATTCAGGCAGTTCAATCAAGAGTAATAAAAAGATAAGACACCACAGTATAAATACCTTTTGTTCATGACTACACTGTCCATGTGGTGTAGCACTAGATAAACCATGGGACCCCCTGTAAGTGGTACTGTGCTCTGCCGCTCACTGAAACGTAATACAGTTATGGTATACATTAATGCTTTTGGAAAGTCATTTGCCTTGAGAAAGATATCTTAGGTGGGTTTGGACATGATATTTGATATAGTTATATAGTGAAAGGACTTTCAAAAGACTAAGTTGAAATAATTTGACAAATCTACAATACTCATCCTCCTAAGCAGGTGTCCAGAATCCGTACCTCCTTCTCCCCCCCTGCTATAAGCAGTTAGCATTTCCCCGATTAAGAACTCGCAATTTGATTGGCTGTCGCAACACTGCGACAGCAATCATGTATACGTCATCGGAGCATAATTAGATCACGTGATTCAGTTTAATCGGGTGCGTCCAACTTGGTCATAGCAGGGGGTAAAAAGAAAGAAGATATTCTTGATTTTGAAGCCCTGTGATCAGAGGATGACAATACTTAACCAAACTGTTTTTGGAACCATTATTATCTAACATTTACATTATCATTTCAGGTAGTTCAAATCAAAAAGTTTTAATTGAAGGATATTGACTGCTTAAGTTAATAAATAAGGGTTATGTGCAGGGAGGTTTTGGATATGGGGTTTATCGTGAGATATGCACATCTACGGCCCCTCAGATAAATATGCATATCTCACGAGGGATAAATCCTATATCCAGACCAACTGTACATTACTGCTTTATCCTATACCCAGTGGAGTTTTCTATTTTTTTTCAAATTTTTCAAAATTTTTTTCGAATTTTTTTCAAAGTGGGAAGATATGCCCTGGAGCGGGAGATATGGTGGGAGATATGGAGGTTCAGGATATGGAAACCTCAAAATCAGGATATGGGATATATCTTACCAACTTTTCTCACTAAAACTCTACTTGGCATAGAATAAAGAACAATATCACTTTTAGTACCTTTCCAAACCACAAGTGGCAACTGTTATCATCTGTGTAGCTCTGTCTTCTATAACTGACATTACAGGTGCTAGTTGTTTTGGTAAAGCTAAGCCATGAGCCTGAGAGAGAGAATAAAAATGAATGTTTAACAATAAACAAGTAAAGGTAACTTTATTATTTCATGGAAAATAAATAAGTTGACATTTCATAAGATTTATGGGAGTTCGTAATGAGCTATTTTGTACATATGCATTTTGAGAAAAAATTCAAAACTGACAAAAAAGGCATACATATTATTTCATGCTGCTGGGTGGTTTAGATATATGAGCCAGGCCACAGGAAAAGGGGTCTTATCACAGATTTTTTCAATATTCTGATTTTTTGTTTATCTTAAAAAGCACAAAGAAACCTTTCAAATGAGCCATGGCTTATGTCCTAACAATTTTTCCTTGCATATATAGACCAAAAAGTCGGATCTGAATTTTGCACATTTTCCTCTTAATCGTGGGCACATTTTGGGCTCTGTAGCACAATTTTAATTTTTGTGATAAGACCGGTTTTCCTATGGCCGGGTTCATATACAGTTTGCCTCAGTTATAGCAGTTGATTCTATAACGCCATAAAGAAACTTTGAGATCTTTGATTAGCATTCTATAACCACTTTCAAACATTTTCTATATCTTGAATATATTCTACTTACTTGTCTTGCTACTAAAACATCCCTGCAGTCGCAAATATTAACATTAATATCATCTGTGAAACCTGTAATTATAATTATATACCTAAAATAATTTAAGATATAGCTATAACATTTTAGCATTGTATGTGTCATTACATAATCTTCAAGTTCTGAAAGAATGAGAGGGATATGTGAAAAATCACAAAATGAGAGCATTTTTATCAGAATATATGGATCAACCCTTGTATAATTATAATAATATTAATACATTTATGATTTAGAAATGTGAAGTGTTGAATGCTAGTACAAGGCATTAACAGGCAACATGTCACCACCTACCATTTGTTACAGACATAGACCAATGAATACTGTTACAGACACCAAACCAAACACTTCTGGTGGTGACATAATAACACCTTTATATCCCATCTTTAAATCTACAATAAATAACCATGATATGACCATAAAAGTTTGATATGACCATAACAGTTTGATTTGACCATCCTTGATAGAAGTTTTTCTAATACATGTAGTACTAAAAGAGCTTCATCAAAGGCATTCTATTAACTAAATGGAAGCACATAAAATAGACACTACATGCTTTCAATTTACAGTACCTAGAGCTGATTGTACAGATAGTCTATCATCTTTAAAGCCTGCTAGTTTATCAAAGTCCACCCATCCTGCAGTCCATACAGCCTTCAATAGATGGCAGTGGTGTTGGTTTGGGTATAAAATCTCTGTTGCTCTTTTTGATACCAGGATCTTTAATGGATCTGAAATAAAGGAGTCAGTCAATTTGATTATCAGTTAATAAATATAGCCATGTGCATGTAAATATAAAACTCTTCAAAGTAAGAAGCATAATATACTTATAATATTGAAAAAGCAAAAAAAAATCATTATTTGTGTATTTTAAGAGTTAGCATTTCTATTTCTTTAATCCTAGAAATGTGGTTGAAGAATCCTTTTTACAAAGATATTCTAAGGATAAAATAAATTGATTGAATTAAACAAATTCTGATGTTTTGAAAGTTGAGTCATTCAGTGTTTTTAAAAAAGGGTAGAGACTGATATGAAGCAAGACTGCATCGATACCTGGACCCCCCAGTGATCTCCCCAGCATTAAAACAAGAGGGCGCAGCACCCTTCTGAGATTTTAAAAACAGGCTTGTACCCACCTGAAAATCCATTTGCCCCACCTTGTAAATGAGAAAAATCATGAAAAATGGACATATTTGACCTATTTTGGTCTGTATCGTGAAAATGAGAATTTTGCACACACTTGGGAAAAAATCCTGTGGAGAACACTGCCCCCTCTCCCTTGAGGTAAGGCATATGGAAGGGGATCACAAGGGATTGATGCAAGACTACCAACTGATTTAACTGACAAACCTTTAACATTATTGCATCCAAACATCCCAGCCACAACACACTTTGCTGATAATATTGTGCGATTAATATTAGTAGACCGGATGCTGCAATATAAAAACGACTGCATGGTTCATAAAATTGTCATAAAAAATTGTATGGGCAGTAGATATTACTAAAACCATCATTTTATTTATCACACGAAACTGTCAATTTTCTTTATATGAAACATATCACAAGACAACCACACTCTTTATTTTTAAGCAGTTATAAAATATAGTTTAATTACATGCTCTTAGACACGAATGATAATACAAATCAACTCACAAAATATCTTGTTCAGAGCTAGCACTATATTCAGGGTTCAAGTCTAAACTTTTCAGGTATTTCTTCCCGATACTTCTACCTAAATCTACCATCTGTGATTGGCCCAATTGAGTCAGCTGACCAGCAATACAGCCACCCTTTAAAAATAAAAAATATAAAATAAAAAAGATTAATAAACTAAAAAAACAGCAACTCCACGGAGTAGCAAATCCCACCGAACAAAACATATTATGCTTATTATAATAAGTGTAAATGTTGAAATGTTTGTGCACTTTGTGATAGAAGCATGAAATTTGGCACAAAGTTAGTTTATACCATTGTGAACTCGGCATCATCATATAAAATTTGAACCAAATCCATTCACTGGTATATGAGTTATCAAAGATTACGTTTTTTACGAATATGGGCCCCCATTTTGAAATTCAGCCGCCATCTTGAAAATCTCTTTTTGTGCGAAACTCCTTTGTCCCTAGGCATCAGTATATAAAATTTGAACCAAATCCGTCAACTTGTATTTGACTAATCAACGATTACATTTTTTTACGAAAAATGGCGGCCATTTTGAATTGAGCAGCCATATTGAAAATTCCTTCTTGAGCAGAGGTCCTACACTCATTAGGCATAAGCCTATAAAATTTGAACCAAATCCAGCAACCAGTATTGGAGTTATCGCCCAGACACACGGACGAATGAACAGACGGACGGACGGCTTCTCTATATCCCCCTCGAACTTCATTCAGTGGTATAATAACTTCAATAAGACTATAAAATCTGTGTGAATGTGCATTCTGAAAAATGCACTGCACTAGAAACAGGACTTTTTACTAAAATAGGCGAAGTTCATTTTGAAATTAAAATCTATATAATTAATCATTTAAATATCATATTTGACATATTTATCAGTTTCTGTCATATTTTCCACCTAGTATTTGCATTTATTTTATAATTTTAAGCCACCAAGGGATGTGCATTTTCACAGCCTTACTGACAGCCTTATGTATAAGATTTTTGAATTGTTCTTACCTTAAACCTTGTTTTAGCATAGTGACTCTCGAGGTCTTGGGGTGGTTGTCTCCCTCCGCCATGAATATTATGGACTTCATATTCTATGTCTGCATGCGGGAGTGACCCCATAAGAAATCTAGCATCCCAAAATGCCTGTAATGAAATATAAATGAATTAGTTATATGATATTCAAACAAAAATGAAACCTGTAAATCCGACAATTAAGACACAATCCACAATTGACTGAAACTTGAAGCTCTATGTGTACTTTTTTGCCTTTTCTAACAAAAGCGTTGCAGAAATAATTTTTTTAAATGATGAGAATATTTTGAATTTGGGAGTTAAGTTGAACAAGTCAATATCTTATATTTTTAAAAGAAAAACAATTTTTTTAAAGTGGGTACCAGGAGTTGATTCTTCACGGAATGTAACTATAGAGACACGTTCAGTCTACCATAAGTACATGTAGCCTGAGGCAAAGGAGAATTCGCAATTGGTGAATGCGTATTGAATAGTGATCGATCAATCTTTAAAATCTGAGCAAATATTGCATGAGACTTGGGTTTTAGACCAGCATATCACATTTAATCAGGTATATACATACATGTATGTTTTCTGTGTTTAAAGAGTACAGAGAGGCAATGTTTTTCTTTCTCCTAAGGCTTTCAATATGTTGCAGCCTTACGTCAATCATAAATCTTGGAGCCGTTAATTTTTTAGATGAAAGTACGCAATATCTCACAAGGGACAGTGTTTGTTTCAATTCTAATTGATGGAATATTCTTATTACGATTTTTAGAATAACATTTAATTTTATTTTTCTTCAGGACAAATGTTTTATTACTGCATGGTGGTCCACATTTATCCCGTTCCCGGACTATGGTCCTGTGAACATCTCAATCTTTTGCCTGTGCGATTACAACATGGGAGAATTTTTTACTGATCTTACACTTCAGATCAGTGTATGCCCTAAGGATTCCAGAGCTGCTGGTCAAAAAGGCATTACTGACCAGTTGCAATGTTATTTTCCTATACCTAGTGAAAAAATCAACTGGTCAGTAACAAAAGTAACCAGATAATGACCAGCTGTCCGACGCTTAAGGCGTGCCCTGCTTCAGATACCTACTTCAATAGATTCCTTGGTAATTTAGCATTCTTTTCGTGTAGTTGAATCCACAATTGTCTGGGTTTATCGGCAGAACGAAGACATTTTCGTTTTTGATCGCAATATTTGCGTGTAACATTTAACTTATTTCAACCGTCAAATTCCTCCATATTGGTACTTCCGGGCTACATCCGGGACAGCCAAACGGGGGATTCCCCTTTTAAATCGAACCGCCATTTTGAAAAGTGATGGAATCTCTCTCGATGAAAAAGAGAAAATGTTCCTGTTCTGCCGATATACCCAGACAATCGGCGGTTCCAATATATTAGAAGTTACATCTTGAGTTCTATAATGCATTGAGGTAGGTATCTTAAGTGTAAGGGGCGTAGATAATTCTCCCAAGTTGTAATCGTACAGGCAAATGAATGCGATCAGTGCAGGACTATAGTCCGGGAACGGGATAAGTCCACATGCCATGTCTTCTAGCCGCATATTGGCTAGAGACTCGAGTAAGCAATGTCGTCAATGCAGGGATTCCAGACTTCATCTTCTGTATTTTGTCATAGCCTCCTAAAAACAACAGTAGCAATATTTCAGTCTCCAAACCCAGGGTCAATATAACCTACTTGAGATTTGTTTTGCTCATCGTATAGGAAAAGTAGTACTTAATACACTAGTTCGCTACTTTGTAGATGTATGGCACGTATATGTGTACATGTATTGGCAATTAATGTTTGGTGATAGCTAGTAGGAGTGTCAGGGACCGCTGACAGATTATTATTTTGAACCAAAAAATTGAATTATATTTTTGGCGGTCTCAGTAAATCAATGGGGTAATCAGGTCCTACGTGCTTTTTACAGGCCCAGAAATCAATGCTCGCTTATAAATGTAGCAAAATCTTTTTTCGTTCGTGGGATATTTTTTTCACCATATAACCGAACGGGAAGTTTTTGAATAGGACTACATGATCTGAATGGATGTGAGGATTCGATGGGCTGGGATTTGAGAAATTATGATTTGAATTTTGCCAATTCTACATGTATTCCAATGGGTGAAAAAGTAAGTTGCTTTCTACCTAATATCAACCACATTTATTAGTGAATTTCGAGAAATATGTCGAATTTAGCCATATTTCGCATATCTTTCTATTTAACCATTTAAAGTTTTGCAAATTAACCCCTAAAATTCTGGAGACGACGATCTAAATTTTGCTGAGTCAGCAATTTTCGTTTTTTCATTGAAAACAGTACTTTTCAGCCTAAATTGCTACATTTCTGCTCTCTTATCAAGTAATTTGATGCAGTTCTTGCCAAATTAAAGGAAACACACCCCAAACGTTCCACAGTTAGCGAAGTTCCAACATTTTGACCCTTTAAACCCACGAAAGACCAAATTTTAAAGGGACGTATTCAGTAAACCTGCACAAAAGACAATGCTACTTGAACTAGCCATCAGAAGTTCATGAAAAACGAAAAATCAATGATGTTCAGTTTAGTAAAGTAGCAAATAGTCCTACTTATGAGAGAATATAAATCACTTAAGCAATTTGTACAACTTTAAACAGCTGTTTTAAGTAGATTAGTATCGTTATGGGCAAAAATCCCCCAAAATAGCCCAAAATTTGTCCAAAAATTCAAAATTTTCATGCTCAAGGCTGAATTATTTTGCCTATTTTGCTACATTTATCAGTGCATTGACAAGAAGTCTTGTGGATAGCGCAACTTTTCCTGAACGTTTCTCTAATAAGATATTTTAATGACAAAATAACTACATTTAGTCTTGAATAAATTGTCACAAAATATAATGACCCCAGGGGTCAAGAGAACCCTATAAAATCAAAAGTGCTGAGGGGATTTGAGCAAAAATGTACATATCACTTCATAAAACCCCGAACTTTAAAATTCATATTGAATAAAATGCATATTCAGTCAACCATGACACTAATAGGGTCAATATAACCTACTTGAGATTTGTTTTGCTCATCGTATAGGAAAAGTAGTACTTAATACACTAGTTCGCTACTTTGTAGATGTATGGCACGTATATGTGTACATGTATTGGCAATTAATGTTTGGTGATAGCTAGTAGGAGTGTCAGGGACCGCTGACAGATTATTATTTTGAACCAAAAAATTGAATTATATTTTTGGCGGTCTCAGTAAATCAATGGGGTAATCAGGTCCTACGTGCTTTTTACAGGCCCAGAAATCAATGCTCGCTTATAAATGTAGCAAAATCTTTTTTCGTTCGTGGGATATTTTTTTCACCATATAACCGAACGGGAAGTTTTTGAATAGGACTACATGATCTGAATGGATGTGAGGATTCGATGGGCTGGGATTTGAGAAATTATGATTTGAATTTTGCCAATTCTACATGTATTCCAATGGGTGAAAAAGTAAGTTGCTTTCTACCCCAGCCCATCATGTACTGCATTGATTTTTTATTCATTATGATAGATGGTGCTTTGCAAGTATTCTCAACTAAACTCACCTCTTCAACTCCAGGAATAAATTTCAACGGTGTCCTCGCTCCATGTCTAAAGAAAATTTGAACATTACGTAATTTGAGACTATCCAAATTTGGAGTCCTTGAATTTTCAATTTCACCTTCAATTCCATCACTTTCTTTTTGATTTTTAATTTCTGATGCAAATACATTTGTCCTTTTTAATTGTTCCCTTGTATATTTTACGGCAACATAACTACTAAAAGTAATTCCAACTATTTTAGCAAGCCTGCTTGCCATATACCGTTTCATTTTAGACAATAGATCTGTGTATAACAAGTTAAAATAGATAGTCGAATATTGAAACACGAAAGCAGAAAGTTTTTTAAATTGTAGGTCATTTACGGAGTGAAGCAGGTGCTCTAAGTATTTAATTTTATTTACTATATTTGGGTCAATTTTTGAATACACATTAAAATTATATAAATAAATATAAAAACACTATTGTTTGTAATGATCTTTAATGCTTTTTATAGCAAAATAGAAATATTGGAGCCAGAGATTCGACCAATCAACTGACGTGATTCTATTCAGTGACGTCACTTTTTTCAAAATAAGAAATTGAAATTTTTTGTCAAAGAAAGTGCTAATAAGTTCTTTAAACTACACTTAATAAGAAACAAATACATCTCAATATGTAGGAATCAATATGAAGATTGTTTGAAGTGCGCTTCTCGTCGAAAAAAGTAGTGGATCTAGGAAATAAGGTGAGTCGAAATTTGGTCTATTTTCTCTTGTTGAGAAATGAGTTGAGGTTTCTTTTTGGAAGAATAATAGATCTGAAACATCATGTCTTGCTTATTGTTCATGGTTAATTTGATACAAACATGTAAATAGACCCATGCTGTTCTTTGAGTACTTGGGTAGTCATAGATTTAGGGCAAAGGAGACAGGAGTGTAACATCAACATGTGGGGTAATGTTGACATGAGATCCATGCGAGAAAAAAACGCTACAAGAAGCGTCTGTATATTTTTTATGAATATCTTCAGTAAGAGGACAATATAAAAAAAATAATATTGTAAGTTCTTCATAACGTAATCATTTTATCATTATACAAACTTGTTTGTAACATTTATACAACACCACATTTTACAATAGGTGACTTACAGTCTGAATTTATTCAGACGAAGGATACAGTCTACCGGGAACATGCCTCCCTCTAGATCGGAAATTTGAGCAAATAATCAATAAGTGTCAAATTTACCCCATATGCGAAGTTACCCCAAATTGAAACAAAATGACGTCAATGTCATACCCCTTTGCCCTACTTAGTTCAAGTTAAACATAGTTTGGGTTTATCGTATGCTATGATCCCACTTACATTGTGGTCGTACGCGCGTGTGAGCCATTGGTCAGGCAATGTTTCCACAACGTTGGAGAAAATACTATGCATTGCACACTTTCTGCTGATTAAATTATACGATTGTAGATTTAACTGCATAAAAAGAATTCTAATACTCAGTTATTTAGTTTAAAGGTGCAGTAGCCGGAAATCGGGAATAATTCCTTAGAAAAACTCCAAAATAAATCGTTGGTGTCTCAAACCTGCCTCGAAGAATGGCTATGACCTGAACTTACTTTTGTTAAAATACGGGAGACTGAAAAAAATCACTCACCTAGATATCGACGAAAGAAGTTTCAGTTTCGTTCGACTGCGAGAGCAAAATTGAAGCTGAGTTAAACGGTTTTCGTTTGTTGTAAAATTGACCTCTTTTAACTATGCCATCTGGCGAATGAATCATTGATTTCGTGTCATATGATTCATTCTTTTGTGTCATGTGACCTACCTTTAGACCTTCTGCCACCTATCGTATATTAATCGAATTAAAATGAAATTTTTCGATCCAAGTAGAAAATTTGCACAAAAATTATAAACTCCGCTCGACATAATCCTTGTCACTCTATTGTCTTCTTGATGAGACACATCGGAACTTGGGATTAATAGCAATTCAACCAAGCCACAAAAAGTATGTATATTAGTTGTTCAACATGTTCAATTACTAAGATGCGAGTAGGTAGTTACCAGTTTCGTCACCAGGTGGCTGATTCGGGGGAATTAACATGGCAGGGTATTACAAAATTTCCTTAAACTTGAATATGCATCAGTTTTAGTGGTTCACTTTTCATATTACCCTTATGTATCTGATAGTTATACAAATTAAAATATGTCCAGTAAAAGAAAATATTATCTGCCCAACACAAGAAAATATATTTCACTTTTTGTGGTTTTACAACATGGGGTCTATGGGGAATCTCCCCGACCTAGAAGTCACATTTTCAAAAAAATCTAAATTTTCAAAGTTGATAAACTCTTTTCAAAACTACATTTTTACATGTAATTTTACATGTAGATTCCAAATATGACATCAGTTTTACTGAATTGTGAATTTTCAATGACATAAATTAAGATTATTTCTACTCGCATCTGGGATATTGTGTTAATATTTCCGGGCACTAGACCTTTAATATAGTCAAATCCGTAATCGTAAGGGTTAATTGGCAGAACGAGGAAATTTTTGTTTTTAATCGCAGAATTCCTCCATCTCGTCTCAAGGAGGATTGGCTCCCAGAATGCCATTGGTATCTTAGGGGATTCCCCTTCCGGCATCTTGAAAAGTGCTGAAATATTTCCCGATGTAAAAAAGAATCTCTTCGATATCTGCAGATAAAACTATACAATTGGTTAGTCAACTACAAAAGAATTCTAAAATACTAAGGATTGTATTGAGGTAGGTAGTTTTGGTGAAGGAGGCGTGGATTATTCTCCCATGTTGTAGAAACACTGCCTGAACAATCATTGGCTCGCAGGACTGTAAGTCCTGGAATTGGATAAAGTCTGGATCTTATTTCTTATCCGACATATCTTGTAACTCCAACCATATTCCAACATTTCCCCCCTGTGTCTGATCATGTATGATTAAATGGCAAATCATGTCAATAAATAAAATGCTGTTGACGACACTTAAGGTCTCGGGGTAGTTATCAGAAATTTACACCAAACAGGAAATGAAAAAAACCACATGGATTCAAAAAATTCTGTTCAGTGACCTTTCCGAAACGCTAACTTTCCGAAACGCTAACTTCAGTCACATTTTCAGGGGGTGAAAAAGCTATTTCAGCATGGTAAGTGTCATTTTGACAATGACCATTGTGGTCCTGGCTATATAAATGATACATGGGAGAAGTACAACTGACTGAAGATCAACGCAGAACTCTGTTATCTTACTTCAAAAATTTCTAAAATCCACATGGCTTTTTCATTTCCTGTTTGGTATAAATTTCTGATTACTACCCTGAGACCTTAACTAAATGTCATTGACAAGTCCACTAAACAAGTTGCATGTTATTCTCCCAGTGGATCTGCCGGGATTCCATTATCAAGGACAATTTATTCAACAATAATTTCATTTCGACAAAAGTTAATTTTCAGACACAAATAGCCAATGCGAAAATGCAATTCAGATATCGATCGCAATAGCCACATTTAACTACAATAAACAAACATTCAATGCAAAATATTACATGGAATTGTTTGATGGTACGTGTTTTTATATTATTGTCAAGTATCGTTTGGGCTTCGTGGAATATCACTTGTGAAAGATGCTCAGGTATTCAGCTCAATAGAATTAAATATTTGTTTAATTTTCACTGTTATATTCCTCATTCAAATTAATGGAATAACAAACTATTGATGTTTAATTAGTAAAAAAATGTACTCCCGGTGATATATAACTACACTGAACTAAGTTATGACTGATGAATATCATTTGATGTTCACTGGAAGTAACATGACTTTCCGTTGAATATCGCTTGTTATTTTCTAGTCACGTGTAGGACATGGACCAATTAGAGTGTAAGGAATATGACAGTGATATAATAATATGCAATTTCTCATTTGTAAAATTGCTTATTTCAGTTTCAATTCTGAATCAATAACCTTCTCATAAATATTTTTGAATAATATTTAAATTGAGTTTTCATCCAGAGTAACGATTTTCTTGAGTACATGGCAGGCCCAATGTGTAACCAATTTATTGGCTAAAGGCTCGAGTAAGATTAAGTTTTACCCCACTGTTGTGACGTGTTGTCATGCTTACAAGTTGTCATACTGCCTCGCCAAAGTAGAAAAATAGTCAAAATATGGTTTTCAACTCAACTCACATATGTGAGTCCTGTAGTAGTATTACCATTTTCTTGAATTTTAATTCAGTTGTTTATGATTATTACTCTAACCCTATTACAGTCGATCAGGCAAAGGTTGTCGAGAATCCAATTTCAAGCAATTTAAATGAATCATAAATTTTATTTGAAGCATTTTAAGGTATCACAGTCTGATTATAATGGTGCTTCATATAGGTGGGATATCATGATTTATTTATTCCATACTGTGATACTCATGCATATGCCTTCTCTATAATGATATAGATGTACTCTCACTCTGGCATTTTTGAATGTTCAGTACATATTATTCACTTTAAATATTCTACAGTCAGTAAAGTCTATCATGATGTATTTCTCTTGCTTGGGAAGTCCACACTACCCTACCTCGATAGCGCATGCGCGAATTTTTTGGCTTTCAATCAGGTCGCTTTTGAGTATATCGACTGCTTAGTGAAAAGGTTAATACGTTTGGAGCTCGGAGTGAGTCAATATTGCTATTCGCTGAACTTTAGTGGTGCAATAGTGAAGTCCATGTTCCAAGTTATATGATAGTTGAAGAAATAATGTAAATAATATCGTTTTAAATTTTGAAATATTTGATATGTCATAGTACACGGTACACAACTGCAAAAGTTGATCAATACAGGGTACAAGGAATGTAAATTGTTCAATAGTACAGGGAGCGAGAAAGTAAGCTGATTATACAGACATAATATGTCCCGATCTCATGTATATTTACGTTGCAAACAGTGAAAATAATACTAAAAAGGCCGCCTGTTGATGCTTTGAGGTGTCATCAATTGTTATTTAATTCAAATAAAGTAAACATTATTTAGTAGATTTAGACACGGGCTTTCAGGTCGTAAATGCATTTTAGTCATTAAATTAACAAGAACGCTAGATTATACGTGTTACTAGGGTATCAAATTGAAATAAAATAACGAAATTAAATATAAACACGTAAGTGATAAATGACTATTGGCTATCAGGATTAATGACTATCCGCTATTCAGAATAATTAAAATTGCGTGAACTACATGTAAAGAATCTTTCTATATAACCCCTTGAATGGTCTTATTCACTACCGTCCTCAAAAACCGATCATTTAAAATAGTTTGTTCAAATACCATCATGCCACAACATTTTGTTCTTCACGATTTGCTGTAGAGGTGATATGACGTCGTATTTCTCTATTATTGTAAAAAACTAATACCAGATCGATGTAGTCTTATATGACGTGTTGAATGTCAGATGTTTTTGGATGGTCTCTGCTCCAGTGATTTT